CCACCCACCCTGTCTCTTTTTCAGTGATTAATTTATCCGATCTGAATGAATTGAAATATCTTATACTGAATAGATGTAAAACTAGTCGTTAGAATGAGAAGAGGGAGGATGGGCGTGGCTAATATTTGCTAAGATAAGACTGATTTCGGCAAATTATATACCTTCCAAGAAAATATAGGGTGGGTGGGCGGGGCTAATACTTGCTGAGATAAGACTAACTTTGGCAAATGAGATACCCTCTAAAAAATCGAGGGTGGGCGAGGGGGCTAGTATTTGATAAGATAAGACTGATTTTGGCACTTTTTCATATCCTAGATTCTATTATTAGTGTCCATTCCTACTCGACAGAAGAACATAATTAGCCCCGCCCACCCACCCTGTCTCCTTTTCAGTGATTAATTTTATCCCATCTGAGAAAACTGAATGGTCTTCTACTGAATAGAAGTAAAACTAGTCGTTAGAATGAGAAGAGGGAGGGTGGGCGGGGCTAATATTTGCTAAGATAAGACTGATTTCGGCAAATTATATACCTTCCAAGAAAATATAGGGCGGGTAGGCGGGGCTAATACTTGCTAAGATAAGACTAACTTTGGCAAATGACATACCCTCTAAGAAAATCACGGGTGAGCGGGCGGGGCTAGTATTTGATAGGATAAAAACTGATTTTGGCACTTTTTCACATCCTAGATTCTGTTATTAGTTTCCACTCCCACTCGACAGAAGAACATAATTAGCCCCGCCCACACACCCTTTCTCCTTTTCAGTGATTAATTTTATCCGATCTGAATAAATTGAATGATCTTATACTGAATAAAAGTAAAACTAGTGTTAGAATGAGAAGAGGGAGGGTGGGCGGGGCTAATATTTGCTAAAATAAGACTGATTTCGGCAAATTATATACCTTCCAAGAAAATATAGGGCGGGTGGGCAGGGCTAATACTTACTAATAAGACTAACTTTGGCAAATGACATACTCTCTAAGAAAATCGAGGGTGGGCGGGCGGGGCTACTATTTGATAGGATAAGACTGATTTTGGCACTTTTGACATTTTCAATCCGAAAATTAGTTGAAGTTAGGTCAGGTGCATGAAATAAGAAATCAAATTTTAGTCGAATCAGCTGTTCCGAAAAATTATAAAATTTGATTATTATTTTTATATACCTCTAAAATTTGACAACAATCGCTCCAGTAGTTTCGGAAATTATTTGTCTAATAAAAGTGGACAGAGGCAGACAAAATTGATTAACTTCTAGTCGAAAAACTGAAAAATGAAAATTAAAAAATTGAAAAATTGAAAAATTGAGAAATCGAAAAATTTTAAATAATGTAGAAATCAACATTTGAAAAATAAATCCAAAAAATTGAAAAACCTAAAAATTGAAAAATCTAAAAATTAAAAATCGACAAACTGAAAACACGGAAAATTGCAAACTGAAGAATTGAAAAATCGAAAACTTAGGAAATTGAAAAAATTTAAACTGAACATTTGAGAAATCAAAAAATCGGAAAATTAAAAACCGAGAATCTGAAAAATTGAAAAAAACAGTAATTAAAGAATCGAATAACCGTAAAATTAAAAATTGCGAATCGAAAAATTGAAGAACTGAAAAATTGATCAATCAAAAAGGAGAATTTAACTTTCACTTGAGAATACAAAAATCGAAATATCTATAAATTCAAGATTAGAAAAAATACAAAATCGAATAATTCTAAGTCGAAGAACTGAAGAAATGAAGAAACAGTAAATTGAAAAATTCAAAAGTTGAAAAATCGAAAAGTCAAAAAAATTTAGCACTTAAATATTGCAAACCGAGAATGTGTAATATCCAAATTGTAAAATGAGAAATCGAAAACCCAAAAAATAAACATCGGGGAAACGGAAAAATCTGAGAGTGAAAAACTAAAAATCAAAATCCAAAAATTGGAAAATCGAATAATTGCAAATAGAAGTAATGAATTGAAAAGCTAAAACACTCAAAAAGTGATAAATTAAAAGAATATTTGAGAAACTGAGAATAAACACAATTAAATAACTGAAAAATAAAAAATACAGAAACTGTCGAATATTTAAAAATCGAAAAACCGTAAAATCAAAAAGATCTGAAGAAATGAAAAATTAAAAAATTGAAAAATCTAAAAATTAAAAAGTTTTAAACTGAACACTTAAAAAATTGTGAAAAAAATGAAAAATTCAAAAATTGAAAAATGAGAAAATGACAAATCGAAAAATTAAGCATCGGGAAACTGAAAACTCGAAAAGTGAAAAAACTAAAAATCTAAACATTTATCAGAAAATGAAAAATTGGGAAACTGAAAAATCGAAATCATTTAGAAAAAGAAAAAAAAATCGATAAATTGTAAAATCGCAATTAAATCTAAACTGGAGAAATGAGGAAATAAAAAAATTGTAAAGTTCTGAAGTCGAAGAATAGAAAAATTAAAAATTAAAAGCGAGAATTTAAAAATTCGAAAAATTTTAAATTCACAAACTGAAAAGCTGAAAAACTGGAGAAATGGCAAATTGAAAAATCGAAAAACTGAAAAATTCAATTTGGAACGTCGAAAAATTGAAATAGCCAAAAATTAAAACTAAGTTTCGGAAAATTGAAAAATCGAAAAGTGAAAAACGAAAAATCTGAATATCGAAAGGAAATTCAAAAACCTGGAAACTGAAAATTCGAAAAATTGTAAAATCGAAAAACTGCAAATAGAATTGAAGAAATAAAGAAATGAAAAATTGAAAAGTTGAAAAATCGAAAAGTCAAAAAAATTTTGAGCACTTAATATTGCAAACCGAGAATGTGTAATATCCAAATTGAAAAATGAGAAATTGAAAACTCAAAAAATTAACTTCGGGGAAACGGAAAAATCTAAGAGTGAAAAACTAAAAATCTAAATATCCGAAAATCAGAATTCGAAGGAAGTGAAAAATCGAAAAATTGAAAAAACTAAAAATTACAAAGTTTTAAACACCAAAAAAATTGCAAAAAAAATTGAAAAATGAGAAAATGAAAAATCGAAAAATTAAGCATCGGGAAACTGAAAATTCGAAAAGTGGAAAAAATAAAAATTTGAACATCGATCAGAAAATCAAAAATTGGGAAACTGAAAAATCAAAATCATTTAGAAAAAGAAAATCGATAAATTTTAAAATCGTAATTAAATCTAAATTGGAGAAATGAAGAAATAAAAAAATTGTAAAGTTCTGAAGTCGAAGAATAGAAAAATTAAAAATTAAAAGCGAGAATTTAAAAATTCGAAAAATTTAAAATTCACAAACTGAAAAGCTGAAAAACTGTAGAAATGGCAAATTGAATCGAAAAATTAAAAATTAAAAGCGAGAATTTAAAAATTCAATTTGAAAGGTCAAAAAATTGAAATATCCAAAAATTAAAACAAAATTTCGGGAAATTGAAAAATCGAAAAGTGAAAAACTAAAACTGAAAATTCGAAAAATTGGAACATCGCATCGTTTAAAAATCGAAAGAATAAAATATCTAGCAACTGAAAAGTCGATACATTCTAAAATCGAAAAATTGCAAATCGAAATTGAAGAAATGAAAAATTGAAAAGTCAAAAAATTGGAAAGTTCAAAAATCAAAAAAAAAATCAAAATCGAGACATTGAAAAATTGTGAAAATGAAAGATAGAGAATCGAAAAACTGTAAAATCGAAAAATTGCCGAAACGTAAAATTGAAAAGCCAAAAACTGAAAATTCAAAAGTCCCGAAAAATTTTAAATCGATAAACTGAAGAATCGAGAAATTGAGAAAACGAAAAATTGGAACATCAAGAAATTGGAAAATCGAAAAAATGCAAAATCGAATTATCTTTAAATATAGGAATATTTCCTTTTATGAACAAATTTGTTGATATTTATCCCAGTAGTATTTTAGACAAACCTCAACAGACCTTGAGATACGGTGTAGCTATTTACAGAATTTTGGAAATTTTATAGCTATGCGTACCTTTGAATGAAGATAAGAAAAACCATAAACAATTCATCGCAGAATGAAATTCTGGGTACGGTGATATAGATCTCAGACCGTAAACAAATACTAGATAAGGGTCACAGGAAACGCTTTTCGCATCGGTTGGAATGTCACAGTGCTGTAACAACTGAATTAAATGACAAGTTAATTCTGTACAAAATCATCTAACTAACAAGTTTACCAAAATACATAAATCTGCGTCACGTCATGTCAGCTATGTGACGCCTTAATCCTAAGAATGAAAATCGCAATTTAAATAATCACGTAATAAATCAACAAACCTTAAAATTTGTACTACGATGTGTAAAATATTTATATAGAATGTTCTATGTAATTCGGTCTTTTGTGATTGCAACGTGAGAGTAAAATACGAGGCAGAAATATTTACAACTAGAACTATAACAAGTGTCACTATAAAGTTCAAATATTTATTTTTTTCACTAGAGGCAACGCAGTTGCGACATGTCGTTTCTAAAAATGAGTTCTGTCTTGATTATTTTAAGTGCAAATTTGATTTTTTCGGGTAAGTGTTTAACAAACTGACTGTCGTCAAGGTATAGTACGAAAACGTTTGACCCATCACTGAAAAAAATGACCATACGAGAATTTTGAGGCACTTTTTGTGCAATAGTGGATTACTATCACACCTAGGACACCCTGTATAGCGACAAACCACACAAAAAAACTTTTCCCGCACTTTTTGCATACACCGCCGAGGATTAATTCATTAAAACTTCCCTCTTTAATAGTTAATCGCAACATAAATTAAACTTTAATCGTAAACTTCATTTTATTGACTTTGATGGAACCTAATTACACTTAATCAAAATTTACTCAACTAGCTGTTGCTAAACTTTGCAGCGAAAAAGCAAACCCCGGAAACTTGCTCAAGCACAAAATCGCGATAACAATCTAAACAAATAAAAATTTACACTGAAATTTAGTCGATTTTCCCAAGAGATTACACACGAAAATTGGGAAGTTCCTGTCGAGATTACTTTCATATCGATAAAAACTGTATCAATAGGAGCATGAGTATATTTGATTGCGAGTAGTACCCAAAGTCAACTGCGAAAAATCGTGCGAACAGATATAGAAAAATGACAAGTGTTCTCGTTTGGTTGTTGCTGAGTACCTTGTTCTACACGGGTAAGTGTCCGAGTACTACCACTTAAAAGTACGGTTTGACCTTTCCTGTTTCAAGTATTTAATTGTTTCCTCTGTTACCAAAAACAATAGGAAAATATTTCTGTCGCCACGATTTAAGTATCACTAAAGCGGTATTCTTGGAAGTAAGTACTCAAGTAGACAATATCGAGGACATTAATAGATAACTAACAATCACTTATCTACTAATCCGTTTTAACCTTTGTTTCGCCAAATTCCGGTCGTACCTATACAAGAATACGTCACTTCCAGACTCAGATGGAAAACTTTCCAAACCTAGAATCGTCGGTGGTAAAGCCACCACAATCCAAAAACACCCCTACCAAGTCTCTATTGTCTACATCGACACCCACAACTGCGGCGGTACCATCATTAACTCGTACCACGTACTAACAGCCGCCCATTGTACCCATGGGTAAGTCCCCAAGACTACCCACAGTTCCTACACTGAACAACCCAGATTTTCAGCGTCAGTCTTACTGGTACGAGCTGGATCCACTCAAGCTAATTCAGGTGGACAAGTAAAACGAGTGTCTCAGATTTTTATACACCAAAATTACAATTCTGACACTTATGATTACGATATATCTATTTTGAGGTTAGCAGATGGGCTAAGTTTTGGTGATACGGTGGCACCCATTGGGTTACCTACACAAAACGCAAATGATATACCGGGTGGTCTTGTTGGTACTGCTACTGGGTGGGGTCGCTTGGCTAAAGACGGACCGGTACCACTGGAACTACAAGAAGTCGATTTACCGACTGTTGATGCAGCTAATTGTGATTTGGTTTATGGTGGTAGTGTGACACAGAGGATGTTTTGTGCGGGATATGTGGAAGGGTTGAGAGATACGTGTGAAGTACCTATAATTTGTCTAATGTGTCTGGATTATACTATAGTCGTTTCTAGGGGGATTCGGGTGGTCCTTTTGTTTATGGAAACACTTTAATAGGAATCACATCATGGGGCGATGGGTGTGGCGCACCAAACAGCCCAGGGGTCTACACCAAAGTGCAATACTTTAGAACTTACATCGACACTATTGTTAATAATAATTAATTATTGTTTAATAAACCCTCAAAAATTAACCGTTTCGTTTGTTCTTCAGCTACCACAAGCTTGAAACCGTAGTACTCAATTTTTTCCAGGAGTACCGGCTGCTTTCGTACCTGACATAACCGTTCGAATCGTTGGTGGTGAGCCCACAGTCATCGAAGAATTTCCATATCAAGTCTCGTTGATCTACATCGACACCCATTTCTGTGGAGGCGCCTTAATTCACACCCAGTACGTTCTAACAGCAGCCCATTGCACCGATGAGTACTACCTTCTCACAAAGTAGTACCTTGTACTGATCGACGTTTTCTAGAATGTTACCTGGATTTCTTCTAGTACGGGCTGGTTCTACGTACAAGGATCAAGGTGGACAAGTCAAACCAGTCACAAAGATCTACCAACACCCAGACTACGACGAAAACACCTACGATTGTGATATTTCTGTTTTGAGAGTGGAAAGTTCGTTCGTTCTTGGGGACGGTGTTCAACCAATAGGGTTGCCGCTTGAGGGTGACCCAGTTGGTGATAACGAAATCGGAGTGGTTACTGGATGGGGGAAACTGGCAGAGGATGGTCCGGTACCACTTGAACTCCAACAAGTGGAAGTACCTACCATCAACAGGGACGTGTGTGCCCGTTTAAACCGGGACGACATTACTGAAAATATGTTGTGCGCTGGGTACTTGCAAGGTGGTAAAGATACTTGTCAGGTACTACCAAAAAATTTCGTGGTCACGCTACTTATTCCATTTTTCAACAGGGAGACTCAGGAGGACCCCTCGTTATTGCAGGAACTCTAGTCGGGATAACGTCCTGGGGGAACGGGTGCGTCCAGTCCAACAGTCCCGGAGTCTACACAAAAGTGTCCTCTTTTGTAAATTACATCACCAAGATCGTCTACAACGTTTAAAAAATTCATATTTGTAAATCGTCCCCTTATCAAAATAAACATCTTCAAAAAGTTTGAATCACGCTTTATAATAACTCCATTTTTTCGAGGTTCCCTTAAGCAAACATTGCTTATTTAATTGTTTCACCTAAATTTATTGCATTCCATTGTGTTCGTATTTATACACCCTAATTTCAATTGATAACCGTTTTCACTTGAAGAAGTTTCGAAACGACTACTAACCACTATATAAGGAGAAATTTTTCGGTACCAAGTCAGTAGAAATCATGCTTCCTTTTCTGGTTTTGTGTCTGGTGCTGGCTGCCAATGGTAAGTCGAAACGGTTATTGGGTTTTTATTGGGTACTTTGTGTTTAGGGGCACCGGGAAAAAATTTCGACAACAGGATAGTGGGTGGAAGACCTACAACCATTGAGGAGTACCCCTACCAGGTGGGTGTTCTTTTCTACGGCGCCCCATCGTGCGGAGGCTCCATAATCAGTCCCAACTACGTCGTCACTGCGGCTCACTGCACCAATGGGTACTAAATTGTCACTTAAGTACTTATAAACACAAATAAATCAAAAATTTTAGTGTGGAGGAGGAAGGTATAACGGTTAGGGTTGGTTCGAACGTCACTACAGCCCACGGAGAAATTTTCACAGTAAAAAAAATCCACCAGAACCCCAATTTCAACTACAACCTTCTGGATTTCGACATCTCCATCCTGGAACTGGAAACCCCGATAACGTTTGGAGCCACCGCGTCCCCGATTAAACTCGTACCCAACGACTTCCCCATAGCTCCAGGTGCGCAAGCCACCATCACCGGATGGGGTACCCTATCCGAACAAGGCAGACCCTCTTCGGAGCTCCAAGTGGTACAAGTCCCAGTGGTCAGTAACGAGGACTGTCAGAGGGATTATGGTCAAGACGCAGTCGTTACCGAGAGGATGGTTTGCGCTATGGAAGAAGGCGGTGGAAAGGACGCTTGCCAGGGGGATTCGGGAGGCCCCATGGTCGTGGACGGTCTCCTCGCCGGGATCGTGTCCTGGGGCTTCGGCTGCGCCCGCCCCAACTACCCCGGTGTCTACTCCAGGGTTTCCACCCTCAGAGATTTCGTTAGAAATGTCACTAATATATAATTACTTTGAGATATTTTATTGTAAAGAAAATATTTGCTTGTAATAACTGAAACTGTACTGTGTGATATGAGTAAACAAAGTGGTTCAATTCTTTCGTTTTGACATCATGTTTAGCGGGTCCTTGTCGTATTTGGCAAAAATTTCTCTCTTGAAGCCGTCGAATTGCTTCCGGTTTAGGTTGTTCTGGTGCTCTCTCCACGGCGGGCGGGTTTTTTTCACCTGGAGGCCCCAGTGGCAGGTGAAGATGGGCGAGAGGACCAGGAATTCGTAGCCGGCGACGAACATCTCGTACACCTGGAAGAGCAGTGGTTAAAAATTCGGTTCTAGTTACAGGATTTTTGGAAAAATGGACTTGAAATCCAAAATTTAAACCAGAGCTTCGAGTGCTTAAAAGCCAAAATTTGGAAAAGCAAAAGTTGAAGACAAAAATCGCGCTTCTTTGAAAAATTATAAAATTTCTTTGCGATTTTTTTGTTTTCAACTTAAAATTCTTCAGTTCTCCAATTTTCATTTCATTTTTATTATTTTCATTGTTTTTTGAATTTTTCGATTTTATAATTTTTTGTTTTTCAAATTTGATTTTTATATTTTTTTGTTTCATCAAATTTTCGATTTTTCAATTTCTCCTTTTTTTGGTTCTTTCATTTTCGATTTGCAATTTTTCGATGTAAGATTTTCGAGTTTCCAGGTTTTAATTTTTCAATTTTTTGATCTGCAATTTTTCGTTTCGGTTTATTATTTTCTTCATTTTTTTAATTTTTCAATTTTATAAATTTTGTTTTTTCAAATTCAACTTTTATAATTTTTCGTTTCATCAATTTTTCTATTTTTCGAATTTTCATTCTTTGTTTCTTCAACTTTTAGATTTTGCAATTATTCGATTAAAAATTTCTCGAATTTTCAATTTTAGAATTTTAATTTTTCGTTATTAAAATTATAAAATCAGAACATTGATGATTTTATAGTTTTTCTTTTTTTTCGTTTTTCCGATTTTAGATTTTTCAGTTTCTCGATTTTTAAATTTTTCGGTTCCTCAATTTTTGATTTGCAATTTTCCTAATTATCATTTTAAATATATGCCTAATAATTAATTGTAATTTTTAAAAAATTTTACTTTCGATTTTTCAATTTTTTGTCTGGTTTCAACTTTACAGTTTTAACGATTGTATAATTTTTCGATTTTATAATTTTTGGGTTTTCCAGTTTTTCGGACAATCGGATAATTGAGAAATGAAAAATTTTAGAACTGGAAAATCAATGAATGGAAAATACGAAGATTGAAAATTTGAAGAATTGAATAAAGGGAAAGTTGTAAAATTGAAAGAATCATTGAAAAAATAAAGGACACGAAAAAACAAAAAAAATGTGATGAATAAAATCGAGAAAATGAAATTTCAAAAAATCAGAAAAATGAAAAATAAAAATCAAGAACTTAAAAAATTAAAGAAACAAAAAACTGAAATATCGAAAAACGAAAAAGTGTAATAACGAAAGATTGCAAAATTGAAAAACTGGAGAAACAAAAAAGTGAAAAATTTGGAAGTTGATAAACTGAAAAATTGAAAACATTTAAGTTGTAAAACGAAAAATTATGGAACCGAAATATGGAAAAATGGAAAAATGGAAAAATTGTGATATAAAATCGAAAAAATGAAATTTAAAAAATCGGGAAAATGGAAAATAAAAATCAAGAACGTGAAAACTTGAGGAAACAAAAAATTGAAATATCGAAAAACGAAAAACTGTAATATGAAAAAATTGCAAAATTGAAAAATTGAAGAAAACGAAAAAATGAAAAAATTGAAAGTCGATAAATTGAAAAATTGAAAAAAATTAAGTTGTAAAAATGAAAAATTATGGAAACATGGAAAAATTGAAAAATTAAACAAAATGAAAAAACGAAAAATTGTGATAACAAAAAATGATAAAATCAAAGAAAAAGGAAAAATGAAAAATTGCGATATAAAATCGGGAAAATCAAATTTAAAAAATCGGGAAAACGAAAAATAAAAATCAAGAAATTGAAAAATTGAGGTAACAAAAAATTGAAAAAACAAAAAATTAAAAGTGTAACATCGAAAAATTGAAAAATTGAAAAAATTTAGAACGCAAAAACGAAAAATTATGAAACCAAAACATGGAAAAATGGAAAAATTGAAAAATTAAACAAAATGGAAAAACCAAAAATTGTGATAACAAAAAAATTGTAAAATCAAAGAAAAAGGAAAAAAGAAAAATTGTGACATAAAATCAAGAAAATGGAATTAAAAAAATCGGGAAAATGAAAAATAAAAATCAAAAACTCGAAAATTTGGGGAAACAAAAAATTGAAATATCGAAAAATAAAAAACTGTAATATCGAAAAATTACAAAATTAAAAAACTGAAGTAAAGAAAAATAGAAAAATCTGAAAGTTGATAAACTGAAAAATTGAAAAAGTTTAAGTTGTAAAACGAAAAATTATGGAACCGAAATATGGAAAAACGAAAAAATGGAAAAATGGAAAAGTTGTGATATAAAATCGAGAAAATGAAATTTAAAAAAATCGGGAAAATGGAAAATAAAAATCAATAATATGAAAAATTGAGGAAACAAAAATTGAAATATCGAAAAATGAAAAACTATAAATGAAAAAATTGCAAAAAAAAAATTGAAGAAAACGAAAAAGTGAAAATTTTGAAGGTCGATAAATCGAAAAATTGAAAAAAATTAAGTCGTAAAAACGAAAAATTATGGAAAAATGGAAAAATTGAAAAATTAAACAAAATGGAAAAACCAAAATTGTGGCAACAAATAATTATAAAATCAAAGAAAAAGGAAAAAAGAAAAATTGTGACATAAAATCAAGGAAATGGAATTTAAAAAATCGGGAAAATGAAAAATGAAAATCAAGAACTTGAAAATTTGGGGAAACAAAAAATTGAAATATCGAAAAATAAAAAACTGTAATATCGAAAAATTGCAAAATTGAAAATCTGAAGTAACGAAAAATAGAAAAATCTGAAAGTTGATAAACTGAAAAATTGAAATAGTTTACGTTGTAAAACGAAAAATTATGGAACCGAAATATGGAAAAATGGAAAAATCGAAAAATTGTGATATAAAATCGAGAAAATGAAATTAAAAAAATCGGGAAAATGGAAAATAAAAATCAATAACTTGAAAAATTGAGGAAACAAAAATTGAAATATCGAAAAATGAAAAACTATAATATGGAAAAAATTGCAAAATTGAAAAATTGAAGAAAACGAAAAAGTGAAAATTTTGAAATTCAATAAATCGAAAAATTGAAAAAAATCAAGTCGTAAAAACGAAAAATTATGGAAAAATGGAAAAATTGAAAAATTAAACAAAATGAAAAAACGAAAAATTGTGATAACAAAAAATTATAAAATCAAAGAAAAAGGAAAAATAAAAAATTGTGATATAAAATCGATAAAATCAAATTTAAAAAATCGGGAAAACGAAAAATAAAAATCAAGAAGTTGAAAAATTCAGGGAACAAAAAACTGAAAAAAGAAAAAATGAAAAAGTGTAATATCGATAAATCGAAAAATTGAAAAAAATTAAGTTGTAAAAACGAAAAATTATGGAAAGGTGGGAAAATTGAAAAATTAAACAAAATGAAAAAACGAAAAATTGTGAAACAAAGAAATTGTAAACTCAAAGAAAAAGGAAAAATGAAAAATTGTGATATAAAATCGAGAAAATTAAATTTAAAAAATCGGGAAAACGAAAAATAAAAATCAAGAAGTTGAAAAATTGAGAGAACAAAAAACTGAAAAAACAAAAAATGAAAAAGTGTAATATCGAAAAATTGAAAATTTGAAAACGTTCAGGACGCAAAAACGAAAAATTATAAAACCAAAACATGGAAAAATGGAAAAATTGAAAAATTAAACAAAATTGAAAAACCAAAAACTGTGATAACAAAAAAATGAAAATTTGTGATATAAAATCGAGAAAACGAAATTTAAAAAATCTGGAAAACTTGAAAAACTGAGGAAACAAAAAATTGAAATATCGGAAAATGAAAAACTGTAATGTCAAAAAATTGGAAAACTGAAAAATTGCAAATTGAAAAAGTGAAGAAACGAAAAAGTGAAAAATTTGGAAGTCGATAAATTGAAAAATTGAAAAAATTTAACACACAAAAACGAAAAATTATGAAACTGAAACACGAAAAAATGGAAAAATTGAAAAATGAAACAAAATGAACAAACGAAAAAATGTGATAACAAAAAAATTGTAAAATCAAAGAAACAGGAAAAATGAAAAATTGTGATATAAATTTGAAAAAATGAAATTTAAAAATTGGGAAAATGAAAAATAAAATTAAAGAACTTGAAAAATTGAGGAAACAAAAAATTCAAATATCGAAAAATGAAAAACGAGGATATAGAAATATCACAAAAATGAAAAATTGCAAATTGAAAAACTAAATAAACGAAAAAATGAAAAATTTGGAAGTCGATAAATTGAAAAATTGAAAAAATTTAAATGGTAAAAACGAAAAATTATGAAAACGAAACATGGATAAATGGAAAAGTTGAAAAATTAGGCAAAATGAAAAAACGAAAAATTGTGATAACAAAAAATTATAAAATCAAAGAAAAAGGAAAAATGAAAAATTGTGATATAAAATCGAGAAAATTAAATTTAAAAAATCGGGAAAACGAAAAATAAAAATCAAGAAGTTGAAAAATTTAGGGAACAAAAAATTGAAAAAACAAAAAATGGAAAAGTGTAATATCGAAAAATTGAAAAAAATTACGACGCAAAAACAAGAAATTATGAAACCAAAACATGGAAAATGAAAAAATTGAAAAATTAAACAAAATGGAAAAACCAAAAATTGTGATAACAAAAAAATTGTAAAACCAAAGAAAAAGGAAAAATGAAAAATTGTGATATAAAATCGAAAAAATGAAGTTTAAAAATCGGGAAAATGAAAAATAAAAAACAAGAACCAGAAAAATTAAGGAAACAAAAAATTGAAATATCGAAAATTTTGAAAAATTTAAGTTGTAAAAATTGAAAAATTGAAAAATTAAACAAAATGAAAAAAACAAAAATTTTGATAACAAAAAATTGTAAAATCAAGGAAAAAGAAAAAATGAAAAACCATGATATAAAATCGAGAAAATGAAATTAAAAAAAATGGAAAATTGGAAAAATGAAAAATAAAATCAAGAACTTGAAAAATTGAGGAAACACGAGACTGAAACATCGAAAAATGAAAAACGGAAGAAACGAAAAAGCGAAAAATTTGGAAGCCGATAAATTGAAAAATTAAAAAAATTTAAGTTGCAAAAACGAAAAATTATGTAACCGAAACATGGAGAAATGGAAAAATGGAAAAATTAAACAAAATAGAAAAACAAAAAAATTGTAACTACAAAAAATCGTAAAATCAAAGAAAAAAAAATGAAAAATTATTAAATCAAGAAATTGGTGGAATGTAAATAAACCCCGATTTTTCGAAAAATTATGAGATTTGATATTGGGAATTTCAACTGAAGAAACGAAAAAGTAAAAAATTTGGAAGTCGATAAATTGAAAAATTGAAAAAATTTAAGTTGCAAAAACGAAAAATTATGAAATCGAAACATGGAAAAATGGAGAAATTGAAAAATTAAACAAAATGAAAGAACGAAAAATTGTGATAACAAAAAATTGTAAAATCAAGGAAAAAGAAAAAATGAAAAATCGTGATATAAAATCGAGAAAAAGAAATATCAAAAATCGGGAAAATGAAAAATAAAAATCAAGAATTTGGAAGTCGATGAACTGAAAAATTGAAAAAATTTAAGTTGCAAAAACGAAAATTTATGAAACCGAAACATGGAAAAATGGAAAAATTGAAAGATTGTAACAAAATAAAAAAACGAAAAATTGTGATAACAAAAAATTGCAAAATCAAAGAAAAAGGAAAAATGAAAATTTGGGATATCAAGAAATTGGTGGAAGGAAAATAAATCCAGATTTTTCGAAAAATTGTGATAACCTTTATAAGTTAAAATAAAAATATTAATGTAATATTAAAGTAAGTGTAAAAAAAGCATGCTATGCGTCTGTTTCATGTGAGTTTAACAGTACTGTATTTCCAAATTTTCGGGAAATTCATTAATTTTTTGAGTCGCCCTGTGTAAATAATTGTAAAAACTATGAGTGCACTGATAAACTACATGTATAGAGTCATAATATTTTGGTTATTTCAGATAGGATTTATTCGGCAAAATTTTGAGATAACGTTATCAATTTTTTGGGAGCATTCGCTTTTGCAGTTTCAAAATTAAATAGCAAACCGCTGCTACACAATTTTCATTTTTTTTCCAAAAACCTGGATCTGTAAGGTGAAAACTCAACACGGATTCATACACCACAAGTGCACTTTTCGTCGTTAGTTAAATTCATACTAAAACTTATTTTATGTCAAAGGTCAAAACCGTATCAAAAGATAGATCAAGGGTCAATTTTTTCCCTGATATAGAAACGTGTATCAATATACTCAATCCAACTTTGCACACAATTTTAAATACAGACCCGCACACGAGTTCGAAAACTTTTTCAAACTTCGCTAATAATTTTCCAAACTCGAAACTTCATTCAGCGAGGATTTTGCCCAAATTCAAAAGCTTTTACTTTAAAATCTAGCCTTAATCCCAAAACCCCGCTTCATAATTTGTGAAGCTTCGCCATTTAAATTCGAAAGCTTCTCAGAGTTTTTCAAGTTTAGAGGTCGAGATTTAGATTATTAATACCACGGCGTAGATTTTCTAAAAACTTCAACACCAGCCCGAAACTTTCGCTACACGATCCGAGATTTTTTCAATGTATTATTTAGTTTGAAAGACGTGTTATGGAGCTCAACGTTAATCCCGAAACTTCGCTTGGAAAATTTCATAGTTCATTATTCACCACCAAAATGTATGTGTAGATCTTTGTTTTATTAACCTACAAGTATCGAGGCTTTAATCTGGCGAAAATTGAAAGATTTATCGTCTGGGATGTCAAGTGGTTGTAAAAGGTGAAAATTGAAAATGTTATTGGCGATAAGGAGCAGCTTATTTGGTGTGATTTATAATGAAATTTTGATTTTATTTGGTGCTTTAGATAGCGTCTGGGGATTTCTGCTTTATTACTACTAAGGAGTTAGCGACGTGACAAATTGACAAGTGGAGATTTATGATTGGCTGAACCCACCTGGCTGTTCCTGGTGTATCCATACCCCACGAACCTCTCGTCGTGCGGGGGAACCGTATCCGGAGCGACATAGAACGGTTCGTAAAGGAACTCGAAGTTCGTGACGGTATGGCTGACGTGGACCTCTTGGACCGGATCCGCGGTGTTCTGCCACCTGCAACACCTCCGTCAGACCGACCCTCCACACCCTTCGCACTTACTTTGTAAAATTCGTAGCAAACTGGTTGTAAATAAAAACCTTATGGTGAAAAGGTCTCGCTAGGCCCTTATTCGCTAGCCTCACTAGCTCAGTCTTATTCGGGGGAAATCGCACCCTCTCGTCGATCTCGTACGTGGGTATGACGTAGGCGCACAATCCGGCGCACTTCGCCGTCTCCAGAAACACATCCAGCTTCTCCGCCATCCCCCTACTAGGAATAATATCCACATCGGTCAGGAAGACGAATTTACTCTGACAGTTCTTCCGGGCTAGGTTCCTCAGGTGGTTCTGCGGGTACGGCAGCTTCTTGCGCCACTTGGTGGTACTCGTGAGGTACTGCTTGACCAAGTGCTGCAGCGCCGAGATCGGATTGGCGCAGCTCATCTCCGCGAGCCTATCTAAATCAATATTAACGTTTTTTGGTCGGCGGTCCTTAGGGTAAGCGAAGTGAAAACTGACTTGTTCCCGGATTTTGGCGTTGCACTCCCGCAGGAACAGGATGTAGAGCAGCAGCGCGCTGAGCTCGTCGTCGCTGGCGGCGAACGTCGCCAGCGAGATGGGCCCGTCCCAGTTGGCGCTCACCTCGATCAACGAGGCCATCTTCTCGAGGGAGCTCTGGGTGGCCAGGCAGGTGCGGTGGACGTCGCTGAGGGAGGCGAAGCGCTCGCCGACGAGGATGTTGTCGAAGAGCTTGTACTGGAGGCGGGCGTCCCAGCGGCCGAGGCGCGGATCCAGCCGGAAGATCGGCTCGTTCTTGGAGTAGGCGGGCCGCTGGGGGTCGCACTTGGCCGCCTTCAGCGGCGGGCGGACGGGCGCGTGGCGGGGGCACTCGGGGCTGTACATGAGCTTGAGGGTGAGGATGATGTTGTAGATGGAGAGGAAGACGACAGCCAGAATGCTTATGTTCCATAGGCGGCATGATCCCTGCAAGCAGACCCAAGCAGTGAGAATTCTGGGCGGCGGGGCCAAGGTACCTTGGTCGGCGGTTGCTGGGGAAACGAAGGGGACATGCGAGCGGCTGACGCTGTCATTATTGAAAAACGATAACGAGGTTATTTTTAAGCTGTTGTGTTTATGGCGAGATAAATCTCCGGAGACTAATCAAAAGTGTCTGGTGGTCAACAGCGCAGTGGGATCGCGAGGACGAGAAACACACGCGAGCCGCGGTGGCAACACCCTAACGATAAATTATTTACTCACCTGAATCATTTGTTATGACTGACGCCACAAGTCTAAATAAAGACCGAGAGTTGATCAATCACATAGTAGTTCAGTAATTAGGCGGCGATGGATAAAAATAGCACATTTTACTTAAGGGTGTTGTAACGGTGTTCGTTTAGTTTTAATTAATTTTCTTCGAGTCGATTATGTTAATAAATCACTTAGATGGACGAAAACAGCTTACACTAAAAGTAGTAAACAATCGGTTGATAGCAAAATAAAAGGACTCGGTGTAATTAGGTGCTGTGTGGAAATGGTTTAGGCGCCGCCGCTTCTGGGCGCGTGCGTCTTCACCCGTATCGATTTCTACAAATGTCAAAAGGCACTTTCCAGATTTCTAGTTTACTTTGGCTTCGAAAAAATTTAAACCACGATTTTTTGTATCATCAATCTTTATTTCAACTACTACAAGAAAAAAATATTTCTGAAAAAGTTGCAGAAATTCTTCAATTGTTGAAATTTAACGTAAATAATCCAACTCCAAATGGACATAGTTTTCGTGTGTTTATCGATTGAAAACAAACGAAAGAACTCGGGTCAGAGTTGTGTGTAATTTAATACAAACAGTTTTAGTTTTGCAACACAGCTTAAATTTTTTTCAAAATGTTTGTCGAGAAGATTTTTATTAGATATCTATTTTTACTAGATAACTAAACCAGTTTTACTTATTTACTTAAACTGATTTTATTGATTGAGTTTATTACTGATAGCTTGGAAATATAAATATTACACCGGATTTGTTACACAGATAAGATTTAAATGCGTACCGATTGTCGTGTCAATAACAATACAAATTCAAAAATAAAAAATCCGTAAAATTCGAAACCACAATTTTTCTCCCCTCTGGGAATTAAATTTTCTTTCAGACTTTCTCAAACACGAAATATCAGGAATCTAGGTTTTTTCAAATTATTCCCAGGTTTCTTTAGATTCTTTCCAAAATAAAACACTAGGGAGGCAGACAAAGAAAAGGAAAAAAAGGAACTAGGACTCCCCGGAATTCTTTCAAATTCTTTCAAACTCTTTCAAGATCAAAATATCAGGAGTCTAGAAGTTCTTCAAATTATCCCCAGATTTGTTTAGATTGTTTCTTAAATAAAATACTAGGTGGGCCCAAGTTCCTTTCACATTCTTGAAAAAAAGAGTCCACAAGTGGGTTCAAAGATTCTTTCAGATTATTTAAAAAGCAAAACACCAAGGTGTTTTTTTTTTAAGTAGTTTGAAAGAATCTCGGGGATCACTTTTGTTTTATTTTTGAAGTAGTTTCATTAGTGATTATATTGACCTTGAAACAAAAGTTGAATTTTATTGACCGATCTTACAAGATTAATTTTTTTTTTTAAATTTGATTTTTGCTAAATTTTTTTTTTTCCGAAAAACGACTTTACCGTCCGCGTTTACACTAAAATAATAAACAAATAAAGTGTGCAAAGTAGACACGATGTGGTACAATTGTAAACGCCGCCCATCTTCTCCGGGCCAATGACATGATTTATTAAGGTGGAGCTTTTGCAAGTGGGAGGAGCACCGGTAATTTTACTTGTTAAAATATGATTCTCACATCGGTATCCTTACTTAACAGCAGCTTTGTTTAACAATTTATCTATTTTCTCACCAAGGGTTTAATAGATTTACCTAAGAATCTAATAATAATATAATAACCTTGTCATTAATTAACAATAAAAAGAGTCGTCACTAAATGAAAAGGGGGTGGGTGGGCAGGGCTATTGCTTGTGTATAAAAGACTATAGAAAAAGTTAAATTTAGCCCCGCCCATCCACCCGTTCTCCTATGCTTTTTCCATCTGAAATAAGAAATAAATCTTATAGCAAATAGTGTAACAAAAAAATTACGATTACAGTTTTTTTTTCTTTTTTGTGCAGCCTACGTTTAATTAGTTTCCATTCTCACTCTACAGAAAAACATACAATTAGTGAATTATTTTATCTATTTCGAATGAAAGGTGGATCTTTACTGAACAGAAATAAACTCGTTGGATTAAAAGAAATTAAAGATTTAATGAAAACCAATGTTAAAATTTTGAAAACAAAATTCAAAACTATGTTTACCATAACTTATTTTATTTACCGTAAAATGGGAATTGAATTCTGTTTTGTTTTGAGAAGCGGTAGAATCTCAGATTTAAAACAAAGTCAAAGGTAGCCCCGCCCACCCACCGCTATTTCCTTTTTATCAGTGATTTTATTGGCTTTGAGACAAAAGTTGAATTTATTTGGCAAATAATAATCTAGGATTACATTTTTTTATAAAATTTGATTTTTACTAAATTTTCCTTTTTTTTCGAAACACGATTTGTCGTCAGTGTTTACACTAAAATAATAAACAAATAAATTGTGTAGTAGGCACAGGGAGATTCAATTGTAAACGCCGCCCCTGTTCTTCGGGCCAATGAAATGATTTATTAAGATGGAGCGTTTGCAAGTGGGAGGAGCATCAGTAATTTTGTTTTTTAAATATGATTCTCACGTTTGTATGCTTATTTAACACAGCTTAATCCTTACCAGATACTTTGTTAAATAATTTATCTATTATCTTACCAACGGTTTAATAGATTTGCGTAAGATTGTAATAAAATAATAACGTTGTCATTAATTAACAATAGAAAGAGTATTCACTAGAATGAAGACGGGGTGGGTGGGCGGGGCTACTCTTTGCTTATGAAAGACTCTGTCGGAAAATGTTACACTTAGCCCCGCCCACCCACCCGTTCTCTCTTTTTTTTCATCTGAAATAACAAATAAATCTTATCGCAAATAGTGTAACAAACAAACTACGATTAGGCCTTTTTTTCCTTTTTTTTACAGCCTACGTTCCATTAAGTAGTTCCCATTCCCACTATACAGAAGAACGTATTATTAATCCCGCCCACCCACCCGGTCTCCATTTCAGTTATTGCTTTTATCTAGTAGTTTGAAAGAATCTTATGGATCACTTTTGTTTTATTTTTGAAGTAGTTTGAAAGAATCTCGGGAAATCGTCGTGTCTGGTTTTTGAAGTAGTTTGAATGAATTTCAGGGACCACTTTTGTTTTAGTTTTGAAGTAGTTTGAAAGAATCTCGGCGACCTCTTGCATCTGGTGTTTGAAGTAGTTTAAAAAAATCTTGGGGACGCCTTTTGTTTTGGTTTTGAAGTAGTTTTAAAGAATCTAGGAGACTTCTTAGATCTGGTTTTTGAAGTAGGTATTTAAAAGAATCTCAGGCATTACTTTTGTTTTATTTTTGAAGTAGTTTAAAAGAATGTCGGGGACCTCTTGTGCCTGGTTTTTGAAGTAGTTTGAAAGATTCTCGGTATTTGAAACATTTTAAAGAATCTCAGAGACGCCTTTTTTTTGTTTTTGAAGTAGTTTGAAAGAATCTCGGGAAGATGTGTCTAATTTTTGAAGTAATTTGATGAATCTCAGAGACCCTTTTTGTTTTGGTTTTGAAGTATATAGTTTGAAAGAATCTCGGGGACCTCTTGTGTCTGGTGTTTGAAGTAGTTTAAAAAAATCTCGGGGACGCCGTTTGTCTTGGATTTGAAGTAGTTTTAAAGAATCTCGGAGACTCTTTAGATATGGTTTTTGAAGTAGGTGTTTAAAAGAATCTCAGGCATTAGTTTTGTTTTATTTTTGAAGTGGTTTGAAAGAATCTCCGGGACTTGTTTTGTTTTGTTTTTGAAGTAGTTTGAAAGAATTTCGGGGACCTCTTGTGTCTGGTTTTTGAAGTAGTTTGAAAGACTCTCGGAGACTCCTTGGGTCTGGTTTTTGAAACATTTTAAAGAATTTCAGGAAACACTTTTGTTTTGTTTTTGAAGTAGTTTGATAAATCTCAGGAACCACATTTGTTTCGGTTTTGAAGTAGTTTGAAAGAATCTCGGGGACCTCTTGTGTCTGGTGTTTAAAGTGGTTTGAAAAAATCTCAGGGACGCCTTTTATTTTGGTGTAAAGTAGTTTTAAAGAATCTCGGAGACTCTAGATCTGGTTTTTGAAGTAGGTATTTAACAGAATCTCAGGCATTACTTTTGTTTTATTTTTGAAGTCGTTTGCAAAAATCTCCGGGACCCCTTTTGTTTTGTTTTTGAAGTAGTTTGAAAGCATATCGGGGAGCTCTTGTGTCTGGTTTTTGAAGTAGTTTGAAAGATTCTCGGAGACTCCTTGGGTCTGGTTTTTGAAACATTTTAAAGAATCTCAAGGACCACTTTTGTTTTATTTTTGAAGTAGTTTGAAAGAATCTCGGGAAGCTGTCGTGTCTGATTTTTTAAGTGGTTTGATAAATCTCAGGAACCACATTTGTTTCGGTTTTGAAGTAGTTTGAAAGAATCTCGGGGACCTCTTGTGTCTGGTGTTTAAAGTGGTTTGAAAAAATCTCAGGGACGCCTTTTATTTTGGTGTAAAGTAGTTTTAAAGAATCTCGGAGACTCTAGATCTGGTTTTTGAAGTAGGTATTTAACAGAATCTCAGGCATTATTTTTGTTTTATTTTTGAAGTCGTTTGCAAAAATCTCCGGGACCCCTTTTGTTTTGTTTTTGAAGTAGTTTGAAAGCATATCGGGGAGCTCTTGTGTCTGGTTTTTGAAGTAGTTTGAAAGATTCTCGGAGACTCCTTGGGTCTGGTTTTTGAAACATTTTAAAGAATCTCAAGGACCACTTTTGTTTTATTTTTGAAGTAGTTTGAAAGAATCTCGGGAAGCTGTCGTGTCTGATTTTTTAAGTGGTTTGATGAATCTCAGGAACCTCTTTTGTTTTTGTTTTGAAATAGTTTGAAAGAATCTCGGGGACCTCTTGTGTCTGGTGTTTAACCTACTTAAAAACAATCTCGGGGACGCTTTTTGTTTTGATTTTGAAGTAGTTTTAAAGTATCTCGGAGACTCCTTAAATCTGGTTTTTGAAGTAGGTATTTTAGGTATTTAAAAGAATCTCAGGTATTACTTTTGTTTTATTTTTGAAGTAGTTTGAAAGAATATCAGAGACCCCTTTTGTTTTGTTTTTGAAGTAGTTTGAAAGAATATCGGAAACCTCTTGTGTCTGGTTTTTGGAGTAGAATGAAAGATTCTCGGAGACTCCTTGGATCTGGTTTTTGAAACATTTTAAAGAGTCTCAGGGAAGAATTTTGATTTATTTTTGAATTAGTTTGAAAAAATCTCGGAAAGCTGTCGTGTCTGGTTTTTGAAGTAGTTTGAATAAATCTCAGGGACGCCTTTTGTTTTGTTTTGAAGTAGTTTGAAAGAATCTCTTGGACCTCTTGTATCTGGTATTTGAAGTCCTT